CTTCTTCACAACAATCTCAGCGATTTCGACAGGCTACTAGAAATAATTACTCATGAGGATTGCAGAAACCTTTGACATCGAACCTTCCACGGTCAATCGAGCTTTCTCTTTGCGAAGGGCAGTAGACCAAATGTGATCAACATGTTCGAAGCAAACCTGTTGGGACTGACTGATGGTGGAGTCCACTCTCTGCCGCACCTGCATACCGCAAATGCAGCCAAGAAACGCGTTCTCCTGAAAACAATTCTGGCAGGCGAATGGCCACAGTTCCCAGCCAGCCATGATTCAAAAGGGGATGCGACAAACGTGATAAGGCTGGGAAGCGTCTGAAGCAAGCCAATTTGCCCGTACAGCTTGCCGTCCCAAGGCACTGACTAGCTGGTGCTGCAACCCAGGCCGCGAGTCCCGCCAAACAGTTTTGATTGCAATCTCTATAACATGGACTGCATGGCGAAGTCCACAAAGCATCAAAACGCTTCAAGCAATCTGACATGGAATTCCTGGTGACAAGTTGCAATGCAGAATCTAGTGACTGAATTCGAGGGAAACTCTGAAAAGCATGACAGACTTGGCTGGACTGCCACCTTGCCAATCGAACCTTATGCGCAGAACCTGAAGCGCTCAAGACCCCGAGTCATGGAGCAAAAAGGAGTGCTCAAACCTAGGAGCTTTGGGCTTGTCTCACAAATGAAGCAACCCCCAAATGGCTCGCTCGTTCCCTGTCGGCTTCCCTGTAAAACCAACCAACAGGGGTGGGTGCCTTTGGGGCCCGTTCCGCTATCTTTGCGCGCCTGCGAAGTGCTCTCCACTGGGCCGCACGGCCAGGCCAAGCCAAGCCAGGGGGAAGACCCTAGCGCGTTTGTTGGCTCAACCAAATAGCCATAGGAAACCTTTGTTGGTTGGGATTTACGGGAGAATCATCATTTCAGGGCCTCGTAGGTGGTGCAGGACTTCGTCCATCCACAGTAGGAATGTGGTGCCGGTTTGTCATGTAGTGCGCTTAACAGTGTGCTTTAGCATCAGGTAAGCTATACAAATTCGGAAATTAAGGCTTTGCTGGACAGGGACCCGCCATCCATTGAATCTAAACGTCAAATGCACTGAGTATTGCTGACAAGTATTTTCCCGGCAATGCATGGAACGATGCTTGTTGAATTGCTTGCTTTTTTGTTGGGGCATCTCCTGGCTCACCCCTTGAGGATACTACTGCCAACCACACATCCGTTTCACAGCCACCAACGTGCGCAACCGAATTCTTCAAGAAACCCTCCACTATGATGCCAGCTAGGAGCTATCTACAGTATGCCAGCCCATGAATGGCATCCCAAATCCGTACTGGTATTCCCATTGGAAAAAGGCAGTGTACAATCCTCGGGCTTGGCAGGCATGTCCTGCCAGGCATCTAAAATGTCCTGCCACGAAATTACAACATGCATGCTGCATGCTGCTTTGTTTCCTTGCAATGTTGTTCACATTGTCCGTCGCTTTTACCTTCGGTCAACCGGCTGGTTGTCTCGACGCTTCTCCCACCGGGACTTAAAGCAGCTGTGGGAACCCGTCAGCCATGATGGCCGTGTCTCTTGCGTCCTGTAACCAAGGCCAGCATCTCTGAAGCCATGCTACAAGCATTACGCAAGTCATATTTGATATACTTAACTTTCCTCCAAAGGCGTGGTTGAGAAAAGAAAAGCATGCATCTCAGAATGCTCGGACCAGTCTGGTAGCTTTCAATTGCTGATTCTAGCGGTTCGAGAGAGGCCCATGAAAGCTTACTTGCTTGCTGAACATCTTACGGAGATCAGACAATTCAGGGCAATTTGGGAAGCGTTCGGGGACCATTTGCAGTAAGGAGCGCTCAATGAAGATTTGGAACGCCAATGTCCATGGTAGCAAATCGACATAGTACTGATTGAACATACTTGAAGGATCCTGATCCTGCATGAAAGGTTTCCATTGCTGATCATCCAATGCCTTATCCTTGGAATCAAAGGCGTTGCGCTTGCAGGGTATTCTTCTTGTTGGGGCTGAGCGATGTGAGCAACGTATCCCCCATCCCCCGGCCTTGCCAGCAAGGCCATGAGCTATGAAAAGGATCTGACAAAACTTCTACATTCTCTTCATCACGCCACAAACTCGCGTGAGCCGCCTCCTAGGCCCTGCTTGAGCCGAGGGTCAGCCGGTCCTCTCTGCGACGCTGCGGTGAACAGAAGGCTCACTTAGACATGGAGTAATCTTTGGCAGAATGAGGACTTAACCATGCTCATTGCTGCATGAGCGACTGTTCCAAGGGAAGCCCGACATTTTGCGTGTGCGTGGATCTGATCAAGATGCAGCCGCACGCCCAGCAAACGGTTGAAGTACCTTCCGGCTATTCAGCACCAGTTGCACTCACAGCCTCAAGCAAGCTTTTCTATGGTGTAACTGAAACGCCTTGCAAATCCTGGAGGGGTAGCTTGACATTGTCATACGCACTGCGCCGCCAAGCAGTCCCTGTGACCGCACAAAAATAAAGAAAAGCGATTTCCATGGGACTGGGGATGCGAAGCAAAGGAAAAACACCAGAAAGCAGACTGCGAGCACGTCCTGGTCTTGTGGATGCTCGAAAGCGTGCCCCGACTGATGAGCGGCGGAACAGTTGCATACGGCCAGGGACCTCCTCAATGTCTGCACAGCATGTTGGCAAGTCACTTCTGTGATGTCCGCTAAAGCTAGTACAGCGCACCAACAAATGCTGGACTCTGAAGGTTTTAGCCGCTGTCACAACCTCTGCACACGGATGAAGACATGTAAAACAATCAATCAGAACAATTGGTCTAAAGCACCTGTCCCATGCCTATCCCAAATCGGTGCGCCAGTTTGTCGGGCCCTAAAAAAAAGGAAAGTTTCCCTTTGGAAAAACCAAAAACCCTTTCAACTCACCCCTATCCGGCCCTATCCAGTCACCTGCGCCCGACTGAGTCGACCCGTCGACGGAGAAACAAATCGCCCCATGGGCCCCGGGCTTCGTGAGCTGCGCCTCCTTCAGCGCCCGGAAGAGGCGCTGGCACCTCGGGGCCCGAGGTCAATTTCTTCTTCGGAGTGTCCAATGAGCCGAGTTCCGCCTGGACCGAGTCTCCATGACCCTTAAAAAATGGGGGTCATTACCCAACATTAAGGGGTTAATGGACCCATGTTTTAAGGGTCATAGGTGTCCTTTTGGAAAAAAATCGATGGCCCTGGGAAATGGAATCAAACCCATCTACACCAGTGCCTTCTATTTTTTTGACCAAACTAACCTAAAAAGGACACCTGTGCCCAAGAGCTCTCTAGGGTCCGACCAGGACACCCCGAGCTGTTTCAACCATCACGGCACCGCCGAAAGTTGACGACTTTTTAGTGGGTCCAATGGAAAATCCATCAGGCCGGTTTCAGGCAAAAAGTTCTCAAGGTCCAAAGATCCAAACAGCCATCAAGTTGGTTTCTACGGCACACCGAACCTCCGGAGCAAAATGAAGTGGCCTGGTGCCACGGCAGAGTGGGAACTTCCAACCACTTTTGGAGGCATCGAACGCAGCCGGGGCCAATGTGCTCTGCGGAGTAGGGGTCCTATGGGTCCTCAAAAAGTCGGCCGACTGGGACCTGCGCTGGTTGGTCAAGGACGACAGGCTTCCAGGAAGCCGCTCAACTTCGCGGATGACTTCCTGGCAAAAGATGGCCGATGTGTTGTTAAAACAACCCAAAGGATTTTGTTAAACCAACGTTTGACCCTTACCTTGACATTTCCATGGACCGAAATGGGAAAACAAAAGGTCAAAAGTTTGGTTTGCACAACTGAGTTTGGAAAGGGACAATGAGCGCAGGTGACTTGGTAAAACCCCCTCGTCCGCAGCCATGAGCCACTCGGGATTTGTTGCTGCGCAATCATTTGTAGGATTTTGTAGGCCTCAAATGACGACTAGGATCAGCTTTTGTTGTGGCAAATCGCCTGGAACTGATCACTACTTCTTGCTCAGCTTTCGCAGTTGTCCTGCCATTAAATGCAACCGTTCAACATAAAACCGCATGCAAGTACACAATTGTGGCACACTCTGCTAGAAGATGCTGGCAGGCCGAGTGTTTTTTCTCAGCAATTTGTACACGGCTAAAAAGCAGCCTGTGGCACGTTATTGGCTCCCCTGGAGCCTCGCCCCACCCACCCCCCCCCCCCCACGACTCCAGCCGCCGCTTGCGTCGCCTTTTTGCGCTTTCTGCGACCTCATTTCTTCAAGGCCCTGAAGTGCTCTTGCGCCTTCCCGTAGAGCTCTGTGCCTTTCTTCAAGGCTGCAAAGCCAGAGATTCCCAGGTCCGTCCGCGCGCGCTTCACGGCCTCCCGCCACTTTCCGAAGTTCTCGTTGCTCCGCTTCTTCGCGGCCTCCGAGGCTCGCTTGCTAACGATACGGCCCTGGCTGTTCTTGATCAGGTCGTCCTTCTGAAGCCGGCTCCTTGGCAGTGAGGCACAAGGAACCCCTGACTTCCACACTCAGTGGCATGACAAACAGTACCCACTGTCAGCCTGCAGCCTGACAATCTTTATTTGCCATCCAAGGCCGCTCCTTACGCGAAACCAGCATGAGCAGCCCACGATGTTTATCCGGATAATGTTGACAATATAAATCAGCGACCCGTATCCGAATGAGTAAATCGACATGGGCAATGCATTGAACGCAAGGAAAATGAAGAGGTCGAATATTAAGGCCGCACGAAACGCTCCATGTCCTGGCCAGGCCGCATTTTACCCGCGTCGCCCCCACGGAAAGCCACCACTCGTGCCATCTTTCGGCTCACGGGCTGCTTGGCGTGTCTGGCCACCGCGAAGCGCCAGAGGTCTTGCTTTGACCTCTCGGAGATCCAGCCGAGGCTTCGAGTCATCCGAAGGTACGCCCGCTGTTCCGACTTTGCCTCGGCTTTGGCATCTGGATTCACAGAACCTAGGCCCAGACCCAGCGCCAATGAACAAATATGTAAAGCGTGGGGGGCGGCAGGCTGTGAATTGTTCCTTTGCAGGTGTCGAATGTGGGGCAAAACTACTAGAGCCAAGACACCCAGTACACACCATCTGCCAAGAAGGTCTCTCCTTTCTGCAGCATCTTCTGACCGTTCTGGATCAGTTTTGCCCAGCCTGGCCGGTCAAGCACAGGGGTCCCAATGACCACCCGGAACTTCTTCACTCGTCGCGGCGCTCGCTGCACTGATGGCTCACCCTCCTTCACCTCCTCTTCCTTTTCTATCGCCTCCGCCTCCTCCTCATTGAGCTCGTCATCTGTGCCTGGCAACAAAGATACGAAGAATGTCACGTTTTTGCGACCTGATAGCGACTGGCCGAGCTGGGAAGCTCTGTAGATTGAATTGCGACTGGTTCCCCCTGCTAGGAAGCAACATGCCCATCCATCATGAGCCATTCGCAGCCAGGAGATGCAACGCTGGCGATTCCCTTGAAATGGAGCGAATGTCCGTTCAAAGGGCTGAGCTTATCGTCCGTGGCAATCCTATGAACAGTCAAAAATGCCAGAAGGCAGCTGCATGTCATCTCTTGAACCTTCCATAATTAATGCACAAAGTCATGGTCGGATGTCGAACCCAAGAGCGCAGCAGAAACCGTGAACACTTCGTCAAAAACAGCCGGCACCGAAGTCAAGTCTACACACAAAAGCACCAAGCTGCCCCCACATAATACACAAAGAGGCAAACACATTGTGCACTGAAACAGAAGTTGCTAACACCCCGACCCCGTCGTTTGCCCAGATCTCAGGCCTTCCTCACTCTCCATACCCTCCACCTCTGGCTCCTCTGGCTCCTCCGGCTCCTCCGACTCTTCCTCCGCGGCCGGCGCTTGCGCCTCCCGCTCCAAGCCGACAGGGGGCAGGGCGGCCACGGCCGGGGAGGGCAGGGGCCACGTCCGGAACTTCTCGGGCTCCAGCGACACTTGGCCCGCCTCTGCTGCCCGCTTGCTGGCGCCCTCCAAATTTTGGTGGGGGTGTGGCTATCCCCCTATTAATAAATACGCCCCCCCCCCCAATTATTAAAAAGAATCCTCCCTAAAAAATATTTATTTATTTTTTTAATTGGGGTTTTCGGAATGGTTTTTGCTTTACCAACAATGTGAGGGTTCACATAGGATTTGGAGGAAATGGATTGAATTGTAAGGTCCGCGAGTAAGCAGTTTAATAAGGAAATTGTATGTATCATTCTATTTGTTTTTCAGTTTACTGGTTGTTTGTTTGCAGCCAGGCAGGTTAATTAATTAGCCAACATTAATTAGGCAGGTTAAAAGTGCCCCCTAATAAGGATTCCAAGACTTTAGTATTGGTTTAGTATTGGCGCAATGGAAAATCAATTGTGCGGAGTGGAATTCTGGTCCCGGGCCCCGGATTTCCATTTTTTATTAATTGGGGTCATTCATTAATAGGGGGAAGAGATTACACGATCAAGCACCTTCTCCCCCAGCAGCTGCAAGGAACGCACGGTGCGCCTCTTCGCAGCTCCAGCTCGAAAACCAGCGTGCCACGCGCGCACTTTCAGCTCCACCATTGCAATTTGTCAACACAAATGCATTGATTGAAGTGCGCTTTGCCAGCTCCAGCTCAACCGTTGCAACTTTGGATACAAGCGCGGAATGCGAAGCACACCTTGCCAGCTCCAGCTCAACCGTCGTAACTTTCAGTACAAGTGCGGTGTGCAAAGCTTCTTCCCTGAAAAAACATGCCTGGATACTTGCAGCGCTTTTGTTGCTGCAGGAGGCTGCCTACGAAGTAAGTGTAAATATGTGACATTCAATCTTCACGCCACCCAGGTCGCCCAAAATGTCTCCAGCATCGTTTGACCCAAGGCGGCGACCATGTGCTTTAGTACTTAGGGAGAACAAGGTTGTTGCTTACAACCATGTTGAAAACAACTGGGGAACAAACGCAACAGTTTTCAAAGATACTGGTTGCATCACAGGCGCCAGCACAGCTTCCGCCAAATCATCACAAGAGCGGGTGCAAACCCAGCCCAGCTCTGCTTTCAGGCGCAAATACACTCTGCCGTCACGACGGGACAAATAGCGGGCCACCACCTCTGCCTTGCCTGGCACCAGTTGGTCCAGCCGCTTCTCCAACACATCTGGCCGAGAGAAGATGGGGACCGCCTTCAAGACCTCCACTTGGTGGGTAAAGGCCTCGCTCCAAAACTTGCAACTTATCCAGGGCCGGCAAAAAAGCGATCCCGCGATATGGTGCTTCGAATTTTGCCACTTTGTTCAAAGGCCTACGAGCAAGAACCCTACGATTCCAGTTCTAGTTAAATCAAGCACGCATGTTCACGTTCTTGTGTCTTGCTCAAAGGGGGTCTTTATTAGGGGACCCCCCAACAAAGAAGCGAAGCCGAACCAAATGAGTCATAATCAAAACCCGGCATTAAAATGGTCGACCCAGAACCACGTAAAGAAGTTTGAAGGCGGCCGAAGCTATGTATGGTTGAGATTGTCCCTTACTAACCTTCATCTACCCAGGTTTTGATTGTGGCTCAGATTGGCTGCGAAGGAAAAGTGCGCCCCGAAGCCTCCGCTTGCTCGCACTCCATCATGGCCTTGCTGGTCAGCATGGAGGAAGACGCTGCTGCAGGAGTCCAGCGCGTGGCACCGGCAGGGCTCCAGCGGGCAGCGGCCGGGGCCGCCTGGCCAAAATCCGGGGAAGTCGGGGAACTCCAAAGTTGGATGGTTTCCTCTTTTCAGGTTTTTCACCCCAACAACCGGACCCCTGCTTTTTGGGGCCTGCAAGCTGGGAGCGGGCCGCATCAGTTGGCAAAAGTAAAGGGCGTAAATTTGACCAACGAGTGATTGCCTGTTGCTGGCAAACAGGAGGTTGTCAGATGCGCTCAGTGTTGCACAACCAGGAACTCGATCCACTCCAACAGGGCTTGATCAAACACCAAGGAGGCTGTCGAATGGGGGCCCCCCAACTCCCAACACCGAAGTGCTCGTTTTGGGTAGCCTTGCTCATAGAGAACTCAGCATCGTTTCTGCCACCCGTTTCGACAAATAAATCCCCCTAATCAGCCGATAAACATAATAAAACAGCTTCTTCTTTTTTTTTCTCTCTCTCTCTCTCTCTCTCTGCCGTTGCATCCAAAAGGTCCCACTGCGTGCGGCAACGCGTACAGGCCTCTGCCATTTGGACACCAAACCTGCTGCATTGTTTCGGGTTTATGCTACGAGTACATGTTTCAACATGAAATCCTCCGAGTTTGCCCGTAGACATGGTACATGATGTCTTGGCTGCTGTTGAGACCCCTGCAAAAGTTTAGCTTTTTGGGGGTTTAGTGGAAAACCCCTTGATTTCCCAAAAAGTTAAAGTCTCAAGATCCAACCCAGTAGCAGTCAAGATGTGTGGACATGGTTTCCCAGGCCTTTCCTAGGCCACCTCGCCTCGGGGGACGCCTCCTTCTTCTCGGGCGCTGGTGCCTGAGTGGCGCTATGCTGCTCCAAGGCTTCCAGCAAGATGTCGGTGTCCACCTTCATGCCCTTCCTCGTTTCGCAGCTCGCATGAAGCTATGTGCCAACCACGGGAACATACTGTGGATGGTTGCGAAATCCTGCACCACCTAAGAAGCCCTGGAATGATGATTCCCCTGTAAATACCAACCAACAATGGCGTTCCCATGGTTCAAAGCGGTGCAGGATTTCGTCCATCCACAGTAGGGAAGCGGCAAATCTCGGACTGAAGAGTGGGGTCTGGGGTTTCGGTGAGTGTGAATTTCATTCAATGCTTGGACATAAAAAAGGGATTCATGTCCATTTTGGAGGGGGCTCACCATGCAAGACTTCACTGTCGCCGGCACCAGCCAAAAAGAAGAAGAGGTGGAAGCACTTGTTGGGTCACAACAAAAAAGTGCAAGCCACAAGCCACAAGCCCCCAAATTAGTAGAGTTCCTCTTGGATTTCCCTATAAACCAACCCAAAAAGGGTACCCCTCCCAAAAAACGAGCCACCCCCAAGCGGAAACCGGACCAGGTGCCAAGTGCCCACCCGACTACCCGACCACCGCGTCAAGTCTCACGTCTAAGGACTCGCCGTTGGCCACGCGCTTCTCCAGCTCTGCCACCATCTTGGGGCCCTGCCTGCGCCACGTGGATTTTTGTTCCCGCTGCTGAAGGCTCACCGGGCAGGAAGAAACAAACCCTCTCAGCGTTGGAAGCAGAAGGCAACATCTACCTGGACCCTCAAACACCTGGACGCTCCAAATATTCCATCAAGCATGGGTTGGTGCCCCTACGGGTAGTTCGAGGGTCCAGGTCCCCCTTTTGGGGTTGAGTACCCTTCGAGCCCAGCCACCTGACAATGCTCTTGAAAATCAGGGAGTTAAACCTATGAACCTTAAAAAGGAATGCCGCCCCCCCTCCCCACCACCCAAAGTTGGACCTAGTCTTGCTTATTCTTGGTTTGTGCGGAAAGTCCGAAACTTTCGCGGCGTTGCATGCTCTCATGCCGTTGCATGGACAAGTGCTGCCTGCAAAGAATCCCGTGACATAATCGGAAGGACTTTGCTGACAGAGCAATCTTCAAATTTGGCACTTGGAATCCTCCTGGATTCATGAATTTACCGTGCTTTGTAAGGTTCTAATTATTGCCAACCAGGCCGCTTGGACAGCAGCGTGGCAATTAAGTCCACGATCCTCCCTCGCGGCAAGGCCGGCATGAGGCGTGTGGCGTCGTGCAGCTTTTGGCTAGAAGCCAGAAGCGTTGAATTTCGCGCAGCTCTTCGGGGTGACCCCACGGCTAACAAAGGTATACCGTGACCAATGAATTGACATTGACGGCTGCTGGGTTGAGTAAGCACCCCTCTGCAGGCAAAAAGCTGGAACAAGTTGGATCTGCAAACTGTCCAAAGTTGCTAAAGGAGTGTCACGTTGAATTGACTGTGAAACTGGCTGGGAAGCGCTGCCGTCCGACATGCCAGTCCGCCATTCGTTAAATTAAAACCACCGGCGGCAGGTCAGTGCTTGAACCAAGCTCAGCGGGATTTGCAGCTGAGATGCCAAAGGCGTTTCACCTATGGAGTTGCTTGTCCAATCCTAATCAAACAGGCGCTGTACGTACACTCGTCTAATCCATACGCTCCGAGCCCGAACATGCTAAAACATCGGGTTGCTAGGTATCCTTGCCTGATGTCCCTGTCACCGGGGCACGCTTTTCAAGTTCTGAAAGCTTGTGTTCCGCCTGAGACCACCCTGCACACTGCGCATCGCCAGGCACATATATGCATATATATATATAGATATATACAAGAATGTCTCTACGATTGGCCGAAAGCACGATGTGTAACCCACCAAAAGCGAAAACATGCGAAAACGCTGGGAACCCATGCGCAATGTGCATATGCATGTGCCAATGCTTGCAAAATTGAAATAATATCCATTCCGCTACAGTACTTGCTGACCCGTGCTGCCCAAATCCATCAATACCTTGGTGACACCGGCCAACAAGCACTGCCAACACGCAGCAAAGTAAACCCAACAAGTAAAAATGCCTATCACACAAGCTGGCCTGGCGCTGCTAAGCTATGATCCCCATCTAGCCACCCCAACGCCCCTCATCCTGCAGCGCACATGTTGAGGCAATGGCACGTTTACTGCACAAATGCTGGTAAAACACATGTCATGTGTTCAACTGTTCTGCGCGGATGAACCACTATTGTCTTTCGCCATGAGGGCCATGGTGTTGGTCCTGGCCACTGCCCCCGTGCCCCGGCCCCCCTGCCCCAGCCCTGCCCCAGCCCAGCCCCAGGAGGGTGCAAGTTGATGCGAGCAAAGCAACTGGAAAATCGCGCGAGAATTGCAGATGTGCGCAACTTGTGTCTCTTGATCTTTTGCTTGGGATAATTCACTACATCCTGCTTGTCTCTCGCTCGAGAAAAAGGGCCGTGCCTTCCAGGTATGGTCCACCCCGCGCCAGGTCACCACCCTCTCCTTCGCCATGTTCACCTCACAAACAAACAAACCAACCAACCAAACAAACAAACCAACACACAAGCACGCACACACAAACACACCATATCACGTCCAGGGAAAATGAAGTGGACGGATTGATACACACATGATGACATTAGCCATTCGAGGGGCCCAAAGGCCTGGGACCGCCACACCGAGTCCACCAGAAAACCCAAGTCTGCCACCGCACGTCCTTCCACAGCTGAAAGCTGCTCACGCGACGGGGTGCTAGGACGTGCTAGGCACATCGACTTCCATGTGGCCTTTACTCCTAGGCAACGCCACAAAGAACTTCGGGGGTTCTGAGCGCGGCACCACGGCCTCGACCACACCCCTGCAGTCTCCAAAGCGATCGGAAAGGACCTGGTCTGTCATCTGAGCGGTGGATGGCTTCAGCTCTTGCCACAAGCTGAAGGCCCGTCGACCGTGCCGAAAATCGCCCAGCAATGTTTCGGGGCGTTCGGTTCCGCGACCCACAAACTCACATGGAACCCAAAAGATCCCAAAGGAAATGGGGTCCAACTCCCGCAAGGACTTTCCTCTACACATGGCTCGGTTTTTTTGGGTGTGCCTTCTGTTAGTCCGTAGCGCTCGGCGCCCTCCCGGCCTGGCCCCGCCACTTGCTGAGCTCCATCTCCAGGCCTGCCAAGTCCCCCAGCTCCATGGCCTCCAGCGCAGGGAGACGAGTTTTCTGGGGACCCTCGCAGCGGCTTTCCATGGAGTTTAGGTCTGGAAATCCAAATGTCAAACCGAAAACACTTCACAAAAGCCAAGGACACGTCCTTCTTGGACACACACACTACCAGAGAGGCAGGCTGCCCCCGAGGAGACAAGGACGCGTCCTGCGACATCAAATTCACGCATGTCACCCTGTGTTTGAATTGCATCATATATCAACAACTTTCAGAACCATTCCCGCGTGAACCAGTGATCCTCTTGTTGGACGTGGAGCTAAGGCAGCAGCTGCTTGCAGCGGCGGGAGCTCTCGTAGCACCTCAGGGCAAGTGAGAGCATTTCTCTCAGGAAGCAATGGAATTTGTTGAAAGGGCTGAGTCAGACCTAGAAGTCTTGGTGCTTGTGTGCTACCCTTGGTGCTTCTGTGCTACTAGAAGTGCTACCGCCTCTCGTGCTTGCTTGAGTGTGAATGGACACCGGCGCCCTGTGAAAATCTCCCAACAGCGGAAATCAAAACCTTTGGCACTTGATGCTGGCAAACAAGACACTACATCAAATGTCACGCAACCCGTCAAGACCGCAAGCCTACGGTTGACACTCTGGCATGTCTTGACCGTAGCAGAAACACCCGAATGATTTCCTTGCTGAAACGGCCAAGGGATCCCCAGCTAGCGGCAAAACTTCAATCAAGATCGCCAAGCAGGCAAGGTCGACAATTCAATCAGGCTATCTGTTCCCACCTGCTTGCTGGAATTTCCGCATGCTTGAGTGACTCACTAAGTGGGATCAGCGTCATAACCATGGCCGGCACATCCCGTGCGCACAAGGGCAAGAACGACAAAAAACAAGTTCAGACTTCTCTCCTCGTGACATGGTCCTGTCTTGATTTCTTTCAACCATTCATGCCTTATTTGCAAAAAAAGGCAATAGGAAAAGGCCTGCTCTTTTTGCATTCTCTGGTCATTGGCACGCAGACCGCTGGCCCGCTGGCTCGCGGGTGCCTTTTCCCAGGTCCAGCGAGCCCTGAGAACAAGACCGGCACAAAGCGGTGCACCGCTCAAAAGCTGACGTGAACGTGTCAAGCAGCTCAAAGGCTGCAGCCGTAGGCCTAAATCTTGTGATATGTGCTTTGCACCCGTGCCTTCTAACGCAAAAACAGGAGATGGGGCAAATAATCCAGAGAGAGGTACGCCTCAACAAGTGCATGACAAGAACCAATTGCACACGCCTGGATGGCACAGGGTGGAAACATGTATTGGCATTGTGGGGAGTCCCCAGAATCAGCTGGTTGCACCCTGAACTCGTTGGACCTTGGAACTATGCACTGTCCAACTACCCGCCAGCTGTAAACCTTCCTAAGGCCGTTTCTGTGACCCACCGACTCGGTGCCAAGGTGTGCGCTCGAACTAAAGCATCTACGCAACACCGGGTCTACACCATTGACATCATGCAAAAACCCGGGCCAACAAAAAATCAAATTGTGATAAATCGTTTCCCCCTCCCCGGTACCCCCCCCCCGCTCGTACTCCATGCATTGTCCTTGCTGAAGCCCTAACCTCCAGCCCCTTCAAGAACGGTTGACAAAGTACCCGTGAAGACCTAAAATCTGCATAAACTTGGAAGATGTGGAAACCTAATGCCGACTGTGGGAAATGTAGAGAAGCTTGTTGTTCCTCGTTCCCATCGCTTACATTTCTTAGGGGGTACCCATCGAAAAAGGAGCAGTCTCACGTGGTGAAACCGTTGCAGACACCATTCGAAAACTCGAAGGGCAAAACGCGCACACTGGTCACCTGAGCCATCCAAACACCTCAGAAACGATGCGACCCGACTTTGGGGTCGCGTGGAGATCTGGCGCGGGATCTCGACATCAGCGGCTTCACCGTGGCAAGTTCGCCTGCCAAATGTTCGGCTCATGTCAGCCACTAGGCCTCACACCATCCTCAAACCGCTGGACATGTTCGGCGCAAACTTGTGTTGGCAAGCTAACTTAACAGGGGTGATACTGAGGCTGAGGCACGCCTGGTGGATCTTTCCGAATTGATACCGGCGACAACTGCGCCCCATGTGTCCATGTCGACAGCGCCGTGACCACAAAATACAACTACACGAGAGCACCTCCCAGGCCAGCCCGGCCTCCCAGGTCTCCTGGCGGATCGGCGGGAGAGGTTTCCCTCTCCCCAAAACGGCGCCAAGTCGCAGGCGATCTAAGGGGAAACCCGAAAAACCCCGTTGAGCGCGCGGGGGGTTTTAGGAGCTTTAGGATTTCATGGTTGCTACTTCTTTTCTTTGGAAAGGCCACTGATGCATCCTTAAATTAAACAAAAAGGACAAAAGGTCGTTCCAGGGTACTGGCACTTGTTCGGCTGTACGGACACACTCCGTGGTTCAAGCCACTGGTGTGGGGTGCTACCAAACAGCAACAAAAACTCAGAATGCCCTTCAATCTCCGCTGGCCATTTGGCACAATGGAGCCTTCTTGGCCTTGGGAACCAACCCCATGAATTGGATCTCTCAGGCCTCATCTGGGCGAATCCGGTGCTTGTAGGAAGCAAACCTTTTATATGTCAGTGTCGTGGGCAAAAGTTGGCTGGGTTGTCAAGGCTGGGGCGCATTTGCACGTAACCGGGTAAACGGCTACTAGAAGTACCCCATGCTTCCATTTGATGGTTCGGAACCCGTGCAACCCTAGCGGAACGCTTTTGGACAAGCATGCACTGTGCAGCAAAGGTTCACCTGCACAAGCAACTTTGTTGGCAACACACGTTGCTTGCGTGGGAGCTGGGAGGAAGCGACTCTGCGGCCCCAATAGGATCCCAACATAACCTGACTCCTATGCACGGAAACACCCCTGGGCGCCTTTTGCCCCCGGCCTCCTCAAGAGGCCCCTCTCGCCCAATGAGGTCCACCTCAACCGACAAATGGCTCAGTTGCGACGTTCTCTGTGAGCCTGTGGGGCTCAGAACTGAAGCTGACAAGGGGCCTGCTGACTTGGCGTTTGATGTGTGGAGAGGAGTGCTTCAAATGCTTGGTTCCATCCAATTGTCCTTGCCTTGGCTGACAAGCCAGTAGACAGGACAGATTTCCAGCTGCGGTCTTCCCTGACAACCTTCCCCTATTGCCATGGCTGTAGCTGCTGTAACTAAAATATGCTTTCTTTCCTGCGAAGTGAGGTGGTCGGGGCATGTCGGGGCCACTGAGTCCATCAACTTCGCTCCTGCCACCGTGTCCATCGAGCCCCCGGCGGCCGGCGCGGAAAGGCGATGCCCCAAGCGGCACAAGGCGTTGAACAGCGCGGGGGTCAGGCCTGCGTTGCGGGTGCGCGAGGGTTCGATAGGTTGGCTTGAAGCAAAGAACTGCAACGAAGATCTAGTTGTGGAGGTCTTGGCCTTTTTGGGCTTAGGATGCCTACAGGCATAAAACATGCCGTTTCCAGGACATGCCATGCATAAACTTTACGTCATGTTTCTTGTAAAATTCCATCAGAAGTCCACTGGGCAACCGGTCTGAACGCTACAATCCAGAAAGCAAGTAGCCCTCCTGTTCCTCGATACGGCGATGTATAATCCAAGCGTTGTTTGCCAGCGAAAACCGAAATGAGCACAAAAACAAGTCAGGCCTTTCTGCGTGTAATTGGTCTGCAGGAATAACGCATGTGTAACGCTGGCAATCCTCCGCTGGGCTTCCCCTCACTGGTTGGCGTTGGAGATGTGGGGAAACTTTGGCCCCACGTTGCACATATTGACCTCAGTCATCTGTCTCGGATGCAGCGAAAGGCTGACAGAAGCCCTAAAGGCGTGTGCAAGAAACGCCAAACGCCACTTTGAATAGCTGGATGATCTGGATGCAAACATCGTGCACCGCCGAGATCCGGGCATGGCAGCAGTCACCTTGGTCGATGCAACCCCGGAGGTGGTTGCTGTTGTCATACCCCATTCCCCAAGTGTGCCGCATACACATTGTGAAGTGGTGTTACAACATTTTGTAACCAAGGAACCAAAGAGAATGGACAAGGGGCACGTACTTCCCACTTTTAGACCTGCTCCTGCTGGACAATCAGGCTTGAAAAAACATCGTTGTACTCGCCCAGCTGTTGTAGGTTTAAAGGAGGCTCCAGAAATGCCTCAAGGACTTGATTTGGGTCAAGGACTTGATTTGGGTCCTGCTGACCCCTCTGCCGGGTCGGGTTCAAAAAATCGCAAGGATCCAAGTTGGATGATGACAATCCCAAGTTAAGCCATGGGAAGTCTACAGAAATGGCCTTGGCCAATTCAGCCCAAGCAATGCCAACAGGGTCTGAAGGTGTCCAAAGATATGGACCCCGCTTCTGAAGATTAGGAAGGCCTAGTAAAGGTTTAAACATTCGACCATATGCTTCTAAGGAACTCTGTGCACATGATGGGCAATCGGCAACTAGAATGTGTGCCATGTTGTGGCTGAAGACAGCTCTCCAACATGGCTTGGCACTTGGCTGAGCACTACCCACCTGCGTCAAAGGCCAAAGGCCAGTATATCTGCGACCCAAGCAAACCAATCCGGTTATCATGGGTTAAAGTGTTGCTAAGTGGGACGTAGACATACTGTGGATGGACGAAATCCTGCATCACTTTGAAACCATGGGAAAGCATGTTTGGTTGGCATTTACAGGGGAATCATCATTCCAGGGCTTCTTAGGTGGTTCAGGATTTCGCAACCATCCACGGTATCACACATCACGTCAAGGCGCAGCAGCACCCCGCCAGGTCCGACTGCAAGATCTGCCGGTGCTTCCAGCGCGGGGAATGCGGGTGATCCCGGGCTCGGCTCATGATCTCCTGTCGGCACATGACTTCGAATCCCCCAATAAAAGTTTAACTGCTATAGCGAATCAAATGGAATACCCTCCCACCAGCTAACATGGACGTGCACAGACCCCTGTAGAAAGACTACTTTCCTCTTGGAAAGGGCCTTATTGCACTTCCATGTTAGCTGCTGGGAGGGTACCCACTAAACACTAAAAAGCGAAAAACAAAAAAACTCAGGGGATGGCTGGAAACCACCAAGTGTTGGATGGTTATCGCTGTCGATTAGTTGGCTTCGCCGCAACTGACGCTATGTGTCGTGGCATTGTGAGTCTTGTTATTGCGTTCTGAGTCGGATGAAGAACAAAAAAAGCCGTGTGCCCAACACGACCCCGTCCCCTCCCGCGGTCTGGCACGTGACCACCTGCAGCTCGTTCTGTCATGGACTCTTCACCGAGACAAGTCAAAAGGAGTGAGAACGTTCCCGGTGTTCTCCCTTGTCTTTGGCTTTCAGCACCGCAAACACTGAAATGCCATA